ATGACCTTTAGTCTAATAAACCTCAAAGAACACCGGTGGTGCAGCTGAGGGTAAACACAGGTACTGCAGTTCTGTAAATACAAAGGCAAAGCACTCCGTCACAAGCAAATATAGTACAACATGCTTTTTCAAACGATGTGTATTGAAGGTTTGCCACAGGGTTTGAAAGGTTGCACGTTTGATTCCTGTCATTGCAGTTTGTCCTGCAAACATGTCCTAAACACACTGAGCTGCTAGCTGCCTCAGTGTCCCTCTGGATACAAGCATCAGCTACATGTCTTATGTGTAAATGAGTGCGCTCATCTTGGCTCATTGTGGGTCGGCATTACATGCTGTTCAGTCCAATCACCACACTTAAAGGTTATATTTACAAAATGCACGTGCATCACCAAAAACCGTTATTCTTTCCACAGTCCAACAATCACAAACGCTGGTTTAGTTGAAAATAAATATTCCTGACAAATAAGGACCAATGCACCACAAAGTACATCTGCTATAAGTTGTTGCTTTTGCCACTTACAGTTTCAGATTGTTATTTTAAGTGTCTGACAACATTAGAAAAAGGATCCCTAGAGAGATAGACCTTTAGTTTACAGCTATAATAACGCTATCTCTTGTCAGACTCCATAGACAATGAAATGGTCATTTTAACCTGCATATCATTATAACATCATAACTTCATTCAAAGTGGACAGAAACATCTTTTTTAGTCTTCCCATTCGTCCAACAATCACCAACTCTGGTTTGGTGGAAATAAATCCTTAATTCACAGACGTAGATGATAAAAACAGCAGGTTCAGTCGAGCAGGACCGGCTATGGAAACAAACCACAGAGAGACTGCGATACAACACAGGCAGAAGAAGTGAGACACCATGTGACTCTGTATCTATATATTTAGATATAGAGAACAGCTGTTTGCTGATATATGTTCTAAATCTCATATAGATAACCTTTAACAGTTAATTAGCAAACATAAATACTTCATAAAGCATGAACTTTGTTAAAGTTGTTGGCATTAACCGTTACATTTCTGCCTAAGCAAATTCCTGCTGATTAATCTCACATTAATTAGCCATTTAAAAGACCAGGGTTGACCCATCTATCTTTTATATCTTCTTTAGCAGAGGGTGAGAGGCAAGGTTAACAAGTCTTTATATAATATATGTGTATATATAAGTAGCCACACATCTTTGCATAATTCTAGAAGAGTAGGCGTGCTGAAAGGGTGTAAAGTGATAAATGCAGAAAAACATTTCAATTATTTAAAATATTACTACAGCTCAGACTGCTTCTTCTGAAATAAAAGAAAAATCTCTCACAGATTGAGTCCATCCATTTAGTTTAATTTGCATTTTGGCATAAGAAAAAATTGAACGCAACACAATAAGGGATACAAATAAATAAGCATTCAGTAAACAGGTGAAATGTGCAGGAGAAGCTAAAAACATTTCAGAAACATTTGGACTTTACTGGTACTGCTCCTCTCACAGCAGACAGTGTGAGTGTGTTTGTTGGGTGCCAGCAATGAATACATATAATGAGGTAAAATTGTATTAAGCTGATAATAAGCGTTGCCTGGTGGATGATGTGTATGTCTAATTTAGTGGACATTAATGATGCAGAAAAGGTTTCGGCTCATATTCTGCGAGGCGGAGCGAGTTCACCGTTTTTCTTCCATACAAGGAGTGACTGACCTGCAACAGTGCTAACCTCACTGTTACACATGGAGGTCACGAGGGCCAGCAATGCACTCTGTAACAATCTACAAAATACACCCACTGATTAAGAAGATACGACTCTTTTTCACTACAAAATCACTTTAATTTTAACTTTGAAGAACGGGTCAGGTTTCTGTGCTTTGCATCTTAGCACCTGAAATTGCAGAAGGAGATAACTGCTTGAAAAATTCAAATCTCAGCACTCAGACACTCTGTGAAGTGAACCGCACGCAGCACACTCAGGATTATCTTCTCAGTCTGCCTGTCATGCTTTTAAACCAAAGGAAAGCAAAGGGATGAGAGCGGTGAGTCCAGATGTTGATGAAACGGTTGTATTTCACTGTGAATACTGGGTTCCAGACAGCTTTGGACTTTTTAATAATGAATTTCAACTTGTAGTAAACAAAAATCACAAATTGGTTGTTCATGCAGTTTCAGAATTACAGGCCAGAGGGCTGGTTTGTCTGATTTAAGGATGAGTGATAAGATAAGCTAAGACAGACTTTATTGATCCCACAGCGGGGAATTGGCTTGCAGCTGCTCAAAATACAAAAAAGAGTGATAAATAGATCAGATAGAAAAGAAAATACACATAAAATAAAAATAAAATAGACTAGAAATAGAAAATAAGAGATATAAACACTATATACACCTTTTATACATACAGATATGTTTGATGGATCATTACATATAAAATATCTGCACAGATTATTGAATTAGTAGCATCGGCAGGTAGCAGTCAGGTGCTGGTAGGTCGCAGGAATATTGATCGTCATGTATATTTTAAAAAACGTTCTGAAAGATGGATGAAATATCACAGATTACAGTAGGAAGCAGCTGCACAGGGTAAATAAATATAATTGCACAGGAAATGTAACCTTCTCTCCTCATGAATTTTGCATCTTGATGTTTGAACTTTGTTGAAAAAGTAATTTAAAACCACCTCTCAACTCAAATATGTTACATACATTTACACTCAGATGTCGGATGTGTATGCAGAGTTTGACACTCTAGGAGTCTGTTTTCATCCGCTGAAGGCAGAAAGTGTCTCTGTCCTCACGAGTTTATAACATGTACAAGCATGATTGGCATGAGCCAGTTGCGGTCCAGTATGAAACTTAAGAGTGGCAGAGAAACCTGACACCTACATTACACAAACACTGACAATGGACAGAGAAAGTAGGACACAGTTTGCATCGATCAGGTAACTTCTAAAAAGAATAATGTTTTCACATTCAAAGATTCGGGACTTTAGAGACTGGAGAAGGAGTTAGGTAAAACCATATTAGAAGCATATTACTACGGCCCAGTGTGTAACATTTAGGAGGATCTATTGGCAGACGTGGAATATAATATACATAACTATGTTTTCAATAGTGAATAATTAACTGAAAATAAGAATCATTGTGTTTTTAGATTGAGCTGTTTTTATCCACGGATGCTGAGTACCATGTTTCTACAGTAGCCCAGAAGGGTCAAACCAAACACTGGCTGTAGATAGGATCATTCACGTTTGTTCGGCGTGTTTCAAGGCCACCGTAGTTTCTCCCTCATGCATGGAAAGGGAGAGTGAGGCGAGTAAGCTGCAATCTGCAACTGCACTGCTACATGCCAGTAAATCCTACACACTCATATATTTAATAATGTTCTAATTATCTTCATGTATCAAAAGAGTCGGTGACTCTTTTTTTTTTACCTGTTAAAAGACTTTTAGGGGAGTTTTCCCCCTAAATAGAAGGTCTAACAACACAAGGTGGTAAATAAATGAAACAAAATTTGATTTGACTTTAATAAAGAGTATTATGTGTGTTAGTTGTGCTCTGTAACCACACCCAACAGTGATGTCATGGCGTACTGATACACCTTGGAGCACACCTGCACATCAAGGCCAGATGTTAAAAAAGGCTTTTTCAGCCAGTTTGGAACAGTTCAATGGATGAAAAAATTACTTAGATTGTGTCAGCTGAGCAAATCTGATTAATGTGACGTGGTTGAAGTTGAAGGTCAAGTATAAACTTTAACTTCTTTTTTTAAACACATTATTGGTGTTATAACAGTTGTACTGACCACTATAAAGTTTAAATGTGCCACTCTGTGCTCAGAGAATTACACATCATGTTGTGCCATAGGGTGTCCTGTCTCAGTCAGGTAATATTGGGTGTATTTCTCTGCTTTATTGTTTTAGTTTGTAAAACAATGTTCATTTTAATTCTTCCAAATAACAGGAAACAGTGAGAAGCAGAAATCCAGGATTAAGGTGAAGTTGGGAAAGAAGGCAAGTTGTATCCACACACACACACACAAACACACACACATTCATTGCACCCACATCAGATAAAAGCATTTTAAATCCAGCAAACAAACTGAACATCCGGGAAACTCAACCTGATCTGCAAAAGACGAGGAATGTCTTCTGTTCTTGTCTTCCGCCCTTCAACCCCGGTAATGATGGATTGATTGGTGGATGCAGCCAGTGGAGGAGAAATGTAAACCCCTTCGTTTTGTTGCATCGGAGGAGGGGGTGGTAGTGGGTGAGGTGAGGTGAGGT